TCGCTGACTGTCCTTTATTGTTGCGACTCTCCAATACGAATCCATCGCCTCCCTAGGATCCTTTCCTTTCTATTCCATGTTACTTTTCAGAAGGAGCTAATATCTCCATTGTTCAGGAATCCCAAAAACCCAAGGATTCCACGGGACTACAACTAAATTAAAGTTTGGTAAAAGAATGCTCACTACACATTTTTTCGTTCACAAGTTTCCAAAGATTAGCATTCTGAATCACATCGTAAATCTGTGGACGAGAGTATAGCAACAAGTCATGGTAAGTTGCAAGGGATGTGTGTGTCCTTTTGACTGTTTGTGTATGCGTGTGAGCGTGCGTCGTGTATTATGCAACGTGTATCACAGTGCAGTTACGTAACCATTTTGATTTATTTCCTAAAATTATTGAAATAATAAAACATTTGAGCAAATCTCTCCTCTCTCTCTCTCTCTCTCTCTCTCTCTCTCTCTCTCTCTCTCTCTCTCTCTCTCTCTCTCTCTCTCTCTCTCTCTCTCTCTCTCTCTCCTCCCTTTCTCTCTCTCTCTCCTCCCTCTCTCTCTTCTCCTCCTCTCTCTCTCTCTCTCACTCACTCCTCCCTCTCCTCTCCCTCTCACTCTCACTCTCTCTCTCTTCCCTCGCTTCTTTATCCCCCTCTCTCCTCCCTCTCTCTCTCTCTCTCCCTCCTCCCTCTCTCTCTCCTTCTCTTTCTCTCTCTCTTCCTCCCTCTCTCTCTCTCTCTCTCTCTCTCTCTCTCTTCTCTCTCTCCTCTCTCTCTCTCTCTCTCTCTCTCTCTCTCTCTCTCTCCTCCTCTCTCTCTCTCTCCTCCCTCTCTCTCTCTCTCCTTCTCTCTCTCTTCTTCCCTCTCTATCTCTCTCTCCTCCCTCTCTCTTCTCTCCTCCTCTTCCCTCCCTCTCTCTCTCTTCTCCCTCTCTCTCTCTCTCTCTCATTCACTCCTCCTCTCCCTCTCCCTCTCTCACTCTCTCTCTCTTCCATCGCTTCTTTATCCCCCTTTCTCTCCTCCTCTCTTCTCTCCTCCCTCTCTCTCTCCCTCTCTCCTCCTCCCCCCTCTCTCTCTCCTCCCTCTCTCTCTCTCTCTCCTCCCTCTCCTCTCTCTCCTCCCCTCTCTCTCTCTCTCCTCCCTCTCTCTCCTCTTCTCCTCCTCTCTCTCCTCCCTCTTCTCTCTCTCTCTCTCTCTCTCATCCCTCTCTCTCTCTCTCTCTCTCCCTCTCTCTCTCTCATCCTCTCCTTCTCCCTCTCCCTCTCCCTTCCTCTCCCTCTCCCACTCCTCTCTCTCCCTTCTCCCCGCTCCTCTCACTCTCCCTCTCCCCTCTCCCTCTCCCATTCCCTCTCCCTCTCTCTCTCCCTCTCTCACTCTCTCTCTCCTCATCCCTCTCCTTCTCCACCCCCTCCTTCTCCTTCTCCTTCTCTCCTCTCCCTCTCCCTCCCCTCTCCTCTCCNTATATATATATATATATATAGAGAGAGAGAGAGAAAGAGAAGAGAGAGAGAGAGAGGAAGATGAGAGAGAGAGGAGAGAGAGAGAAGGAGAGAAGAGAGAGGGGAGGAGAGAGGAGGGAGAGGGGTGGGAAGAAGAGTACATATAATATACATTATATATATTATATAATATATATATATATAATATATATATATGCATACATTTTGTATATATGTTAATGAAAGCTCAACAATGAGAACAGAGAACTCAATGTAGAAAAAATGAGAAATAAAAGAACAGATAACAAAAAGAAAGAAATAGACCAGGAATACCAGGATAAAAACCAAAATAGCAAATAGACCATGAGAAAGAGAACAAGGAGACCAAATAAAAAAAAACAATAAAACAGAAGAACCACAGAACAACAAAAAACAAGAACTAGTGAACAAAAAAAAAAAAAGAGAAAGAGAACTAATAAGAACAAAGAAAAAAAAAAGCACAATAAAGCACAGAAGAAGAAGAGAACGAGAGAAAAAGAACGAGGGAGAACGAGAGAAAAAAACACAAGAGAACAAGAGAAACCAATAAAAAGAAAAGAGCAAAAGACAAATAAAGCACCAGAAGAGAAGAGAACAACAGAACGAAGAAACTGATTTACAGAACGGAGAACAACACAGAACAGGAGAGAACACAACAGAACAGAGAACAACAGAACAACAGACAAGAGAAAGAGAACAGAGAAGCACGAGAGAAGAGAGAGGAGAGAAGAGAAGAAGAGAGAGAGAGAGAGAGAGAGAGAGAGAGAGAGAGAGAGAGAGAGAGAGAGAGAGAGAGAGAGAGAGAGAGAGAGAGAGAGAGAAGAGAGAGAGAGAGAGAGAGAGAGAGAGAGAGAGAGAGAGAGAGAGAGAGAGAGAGAGAGAGAAGAGAGAGAGAGAGAGAGAGAGGAGAGAGAGGAGAGAGAGAGAGAGGAGAGAGAGAGAGAGAGAGAGAGAGAGAGAGAGAGAGAGAGAGAGAGAGAGAGAGAGAGAGAGAGAGAGAGGAGAGAGAGAGAGAGAGAGAGAGACGAGAGA